AAGAGGTCCCGGCGGGTAATAAAAGGGTCCTGGCAGTGCTTGCGGGGCACTTTGGAGATGCTCGACAGGTTGAAGTGTGTGAGGAGCAGGTGCTGGTTGTGGGAATATCGGTACCGGGTGCTCAGTGTGGTGCTGAGGGGGCATCCATAATGGACGAGGAAAGGCAGGGTCACTGTGCGGAGCTATAGAGGGATCAGCCGGTTGATGGGGAAGAGCAAATCCAGAGGGAGGTGGTGCAGCGGCGGGCCAACCACCACTGGCAGCAAAAGACATTGGGGCTACGTGCTGCTGTGCCCCTGGGGCCGGTCGGTCTCTGGGTCTGAACTCGGGTGCTTCTGCTCGAAGATTAGAATCTACCGTAGACGAATCGGGCGAGGGCTGCTCTTGCTCCCTCGTCTCTTGCAGCGACCTTTGCCGACTTGGAGCGGACCAGGGAGAAGCCTGCTGCGGGCGCCCACGATGAGCAGTGGGAGCTCGTTGGTGCGTTTCTGTACGGGGACGAGTTCGTTGGGGCCGTGACGGTCCCGGCAAGTGGGGAGTTGTTGCTGATGGCGATCGTCGACGAGGAGGATCAGAGTCCCTGGATTGATCGGAAGGCACACCCCCCTCTGGAGTTGTCTGAGCTGCAAGCTGCTCGCCACGGCGGAGGAGCCTGAACCCAGCAATGCTCTCCTGGTCTTGGCTGGTCGCAGGGTGCCGTTGTTGCTGGAGCCGCTTTGTGCCCTGCGACTGCTGNGCTGCTGCCACGGCTGCTGCTGGTGGTGCTCCTGCATCTCCTGTCCCGGCCCGCTACGGCCCAAAGCGACGTTAACGCTTTCGACGAGCCCTCTTGCAAGCCGTTCGTAACGCTGGCGGCGTCCGTCCATCTCTTCTGAAAATGACATGGTCTGCGCATGGGGTCTGCGTTTGTGAGCTGGTCCATCAATCCCAAAGAAATTAAGCGCTACCTGCTCCGCATATATCCAGGCACTCGCAGCGGCGTCTTGCAATACCCTTCTCTTGCTACTGTGTCGCACACGTGCGAGAAGTCTACGCGATTTACGGAGCACTTCCTCGGGCACCAACAGGGAGTATTTCACCCAATGCTGCAGCTGCTCTAGGGCAAAGATACACTGTTTAATTCTATAGGCGGAGATTGTTGCCTCCACAGCCAGCCCCTCAGAGTCCGCATTCGCTGGGGCTGTCCTAAGTCGTTCCAGGAGTTTTAGCATTCCTCTCCCTCGTGCTATTCTCCTGAAGCTCGCACCCTCGTTTTCTAGTTGTGACAAAGCCTGTTGCCCCACCGCCACAACAAAATCAATCGTACTCTTCCGCTCCACCTCAGTTTGGGGAGTTGAGTAGACCCCAAGCAAAGCCACCTCCTGTGCGCAAATTG